TGGGTGCTTTTTTTCCTTCCTAACTCAGGCGACATACTGAAGGAATGACATCTGTGTCCACATTAGTATGTTAGGCTTTGGGGCAGTAAAAGCAAAAGTTCAGACTGACCACAAACTGAACATCAAATTGTGGGGTCTTCATAGACAGTGGCCAAATTTTAATTAATTATGCATCCTAGACCTATGAATATTCAAACAAGCCTCAGTAAATGCTTTTTTTTTAATTAAATATGCAATTGGCTTCAACTATTAATTCAGAACCAGAATTATAACGGGTGCTATTCATAACAGAATTGCCTTACCATTTCTACCCAGGGTTCAAAACTTATGACTTGTTCTTTTCTTTCTGGACACTAGACAAAGACAGAGAATAACCACTATGTCATTATTAGCTCAAGGAACTCCTGGCATGTGGTTGCAGTGGCAGTAGCCACTCTTCATGTGGCATCACACGATGGTTTCCCCTGAGTGCTCTGCTATCCAGATCCATCCAGATCAGACCGCCCCTCAAGCCACCCTATACACCCCACCCCAAACCCCTGTCCCCACATCGCCGCCTGGCAAGCGGCAACTCAAGCAAAGCAGTTGAGTTGGAGACAGTTGGGCTCTTCTAGTGTTCTTTTCCGATGCAGGCACACGCACATTCAACTAAAGGCTCCATTTATGAAGCAAACTGTTGACAAAACCACAGGAACAAGTGGATGTTGTCATCCCTTTAGTTGGCCAGTCAGGCATTTCTTCTGCCTAAGGCTTCAGGTGTTTTCTGAGATGTGGTTAAAGTGCAGATTTAGCTATCTTATATCTGGGGAAAAGCCTGAGAGTCTTCAAATTTGATGCACCATATCACCTGTGTTTACAAATCAGTAGCCCTGACATTATTTGGAACCTGTTTGAAGTTCAGACTTGAAGCTGCCACCTGTACTTAAATAGAACCTCAGATCTCTGTGTTAACATGTGATAAGGACTATGCTATCCTTGTCTGCTTTCTATAACAGTACTAGAGATTGAACCCAGGGCTTTACACATGCTGGGAAAGTATACTGCCAACGAGTTACATTGCCAGCCTTTTATTTGTTTTAAGAAAATTTTTACCACATAAGTAATCGTTAAGTTACGAATGCTGGTCTTTGGTCCTTGGGCTCAGCTTCCCAGATATCTGAGATCAGAAGCCTGACTAGCTGTAACCATTAAAATGGATGAAAGAATATACTACGGGCAGGATCTCAATGTAGATAGGGGTTGGAAAGGAAGGCCACATGCAACCACCATGCACCTTTTTATTTAAAACTCTGTTAGGTCTCTATACTAACATGACTCTGACACCTGGAAAAATATATAGAAGGAACACTTAGTATTCAGAGATGTGATGAATCTTTTTTCTCATCCATCCCAATTGCCTGGTCCTTATATCTAGGGGACTCACCTGGCCAAGAATCACGCTCCTCAGAGTAACGCCACTGTAGATGAAAAACCACACCAGCAGACATTGTCCTATGTCTGACCATGTCGTGCCAGGAGACCAGCACTCGTGTCAAATGAAACTAATAGTACCACATGCTCTGGACTCCTTTTGATCCTTGATGGGAGCTACTTGAAATGGGCCCAAAGATGTCTATGGGATTGTAAAATAGCTGCAGTAAAAACATCATTTATGTCTCAGGGATGGAGAAATACGGATTCAGGTCACCATCTGTCAACTTTCTGACTTCTGGCAAATTGTTTAACCTAGCTAGCACTCAGTGACTTTGCAATTAACACGCTCATGGCTTCCACAAAAGATGGGCTCGAAGTGTTAGGAAGGGATCCAGGGCAGAGTGGTGTTTAATCACTAGTGGCAGTTTTGAGACCTCACTTGAGAACTAAGGACTAGGTAGGGTTCATGCACTTGGTCACCCCCTGACCTTTAAGTCCGTGTTTGGGTTTAAGCTAAGGGTTTCATACTTACTTAAGAGAACCTTCTTATCTAGTGATCCATCTCCTCAGCCCCAAGACAGTAATTTTAAACCTGATTAAGGTTTCGAGTAAATAGATTTCCAGTTAAAGAGACTAAAATCTTGAAATCTATTACCTAAGTATCATTGGAATAAAGAGAGAAAATAAATCCCCCAAATTCTAGCAAGGTTTTTTGTTTGGTTGGTTGGTTGGTTTTTTTTTGTTGTTGTTTTGTTTTGAGGTTTTTTGTTTTGTTTTGTTTTTTGATATGTTTGTACCAATCACTTGAAACTTTGGGGGATTTGATTGGAAAGTCATGATTCTCGGGTTTCCAGCTGGGATGTCAGACAGATCTGTTGATGGTGTCTGTGAGAGCCTGGCACATTCTGTCTGTAAGAGTGGACACTATAGACCCCAGAAGCAACAGAAAGAATCAGAGGCACTGAGAGTCATGGAACTGGGGGAAGAGGATGGCTGTAAGGGCTGTGAAAGCTTCTGGGACCCTTGTTATCAGAACAGAAGCAGCCAGTCTTCTTCAATAAAGGGAGGGAAGCGTCTGCTTGTTACTACTGTGCTGCACAGAGAGGCTGTTGCTGATTAGTGAAGAAGAAGAAGAGTCTCATTCATCATTCTTCATTTCGGCTCTGTCTTCCTAACTTCTCACTCATACATTTGTTTTGGAAATACTCTTTTAAAGCTTCAAGTTTCTTCAGACTCTTATCACGAAAAGTAAGTCTTCAAGGAGAGAGCCTTCCACTCTCTTCCCTCCTTCTGCCTTTTCTTCTCTCTCTCTCTCTCTCTCTCTCTCTCTCTCTCTCTCTCTCTCTCTCCCTCTCTCTGTCTCTCTCTCTCCCCACTCTCTTCCTCCCCACTCCTCTTTTTCTGTGCACTGGTGTTAAACCTACAGCCTCATGCATTCTAAGCTAGTTTTCCACAGTTGAGCTTATAGCCCAGCCCCAAGGTTTTCATTTGAAAAGAGATTGCACATGTCCACACCTTAGCGTGTGAGACTTTGGTGTTGATATCCACATAGTTGAGAGTTCAGAGTACTCTGGAGTATGACTTCATAAGGCAGACTGTCATGTGGCCTTTTCCACATTGATCTTTTTGTGGAAGCAGGGAGTGTATGTTTAATACCACATGAGAAGGAGAAAAGAGATATTTCCCAGCATTCCAGGGGAAAGCTTTTGGGGAAAGGTTAGGAATGGGAGGGGGGAGTTTAAAGAGCACCAGGTTGTGTGAGGGGCAGGAAGAGTCACATGGTAGCAGGACCATGGCTGTGCTGAGCAAAGAGAGAAGTCTTTAGAGGGAATCAGATATCTCAGGAAAAAAAAACGAACAGAAACTAATTCTGTCCGAAAATGCTATGATGAAATCTAAAACCGTGCATTCTAATTTAAATTTTTTGAAAAGATATATTTGAAAACATATTCCAGTGCTAATGACTTACCCAAGCCATGTTCACTGCGTAGGGGTGGCAGAACCTCTTCCGGATGTGTGAATAAAACAGCCCAGAGAGTTCATACTCCAGCCCTCTAACACTCCCGTGGAGGCTGTTCTGAGGCTTGCCTCGGCCCTGGGCTCACTTTGCTCTGGTTTGGCCTGAGTGGGACTTGTTACCATCTCCCTATGTCAAGGCCACATGACAGCCTTCACCTCAACCCACTCTTCGTTGTCAGCTTTTGGAGAATATGTATATAAAACGGAACAGAGCTCTGGGTAGGGAGCTTCATGAACCAGTGAGAAAGAAAGAGTGAAAGATGACATGGTTCAGAGTTTAGGACCACATGGAAAGTGCCTTTACATGGAGTTAGCAAAGCAAATTTGGTGCCAGCTGTGCCTCCTGCTAGCTACAGGATGCTATTAAGCCAGTAATTCTGTCACCTAGAGAGAGATCCAGGAAGAATGGTACTTGCTGTGAGTTTACTACACTTTCTGTGAATCCGTAAATCTTGCCAGAGGTTTGAGTCAGATGAAACAACAGCGAATATTAGGATTTCAAAGCTGCACTGTCCAATGTGGCAGCCGCTGGACGTGAGTGGCTAAAATATTCAAGTTCATTTAAATTAGATTTAAAAAAAAAAAAAGCTCAGTTCCTTAGTCACATTGTCTACATCCGAGTGCTCAGCAGCAAGGTGGCTGGAAGTGTCATGTTGTAGTACAAGTCCATCTAACATGGACATTCAGAGGAAGTTCTGTTGACAACTGACTTCCAAAGAGGTCCAGGGAGTGATGTTAGGATCGTAAAGGGTGGAACATTTCATTGTAGAGGTAACAACTGCTATCACAGTTAGGGCTCCTCGAAAAAGAGCAACCAACTTAAAACCAGTAGAATTAAAACTGAGGATTTATTTGACCAGTCCTGGAAGAACAAGTGTATCCCAAAGGTAAGAAATGTAGCTAAGCTTCAGGAGCTACAACTACCTCCTTCCCCTACTACTCCTCTTCTTCCTCTTCTCGAGTCTCTTCTTTCTCCCCTTCTCCCATTTCTTCTCTTATTCTTCCTCTTTCTCCTCTTCTTTCCCCTCCCCTCTTGTTTCCTTCACCCCAACCCCACCCCTGGCTCTGCAGCCCACCTTTCTCATCTTCATTCCACACGACCCCTGAACAGCTTAAGTGACCACTTTCATCACTTCTTACAGATCCAACAGACATAGGCCCCTGCCTGGTTCTGTTTAGCCAGCTTGGATTGACAGCCACCTGGTCCCATTGCCTCCATTTGGGAGGAAACAGACAATCTGTGCTTACTCATTAGTTCTCCAAAAAGAGTACATATGGGATAGGATGGAATCACTAGCCTATGGGTTAGTACCTTGGAGAAGCCCTTAGCATAGGATCACACAGAGAAGAACCAGCAAAGAAAAAGAGGATAGCATCTTTTCTTCCTTAGTCATTTCCGTAATTCGCAATACCAATGCAGTCCATAGGGCAATAGCTTATACCATATACTTAGACCCATAGGAACCAAGCACAGCCAGTAATGCAAGGTGGAAATTAAGCCTAAGCCTCTATTAGTTTGTAAATACAATCTGAGCACTCACAAGTTCCCATTTCTTTTCTGTCTTTAGGAAGGAACATGAGGTTCCCTTGGAGATCATTCAAGAGGACGATGGAAAGAGCCATTTAGAGTAAATAGTGTAAAAACTACAGCTGCAACACTGGGGCCTGAGGGCTGGCAGTGGAAAACCCTGTTGGGCTGTGATCTCTCACTGAAAAGTCCCAAGTGCCTTTTTGCTTCCTGCAAAAGGAAGGAAGCCAAGGAAGAGACCATGTCCATAGCCCTGAAGCAAGTGTTCAACAAGGACAAGACCTTCCGGCCCAAGAGGAAGTTTGAACCTGGCACACAGAGATTTGAGCTGCATAAACGGGCTCAGGCGTCCCTCAACTCGGGTGTGGACCTGAGGGCAGCTGTGCAGTTACCCAGCGGGGAGGACCAGAACGACTGGGTGGCTGTGCATGTGGTGGACTTCTTCAATCGCATTAACCTCATCTACGGCACCATCTGTGAGTTCTGCACTGAGCGGACCTGCCCTGTGATGTCAGGGGGGCCCAAATACGAGTATCGGTGGCAGGATGACCTCAAGTATAAGAAACCAACTGCACTGCCCGCTCCCCAGTACATGAACCTGCTTATGGATTGGATTGAAGTCCAGATAAACAATGAGGACATATTTCCAACATGTGTTGGTAAGTGCATGATGGTTTGATTGTGAATCTTTTGATTTTTTTTAAATGTTTTGTCCCATTCTTCCCTGAGCCAAGAAAGCTTGCACAGTGTGAGTCTTACACTCTTTGAATACTAGATACCATTCATGCATCCCTAATCTCCATCAGCTGTATATCTGAAAAAGAGAAAATCTGATTGAAATGGGGGGGGGAGGTCATTTATGGTCTGTCTGTGGTTTTGTGGACTAGTGGTATCCATTCCACATGCTTGGGAGAATTGGGAAAATGTTAGCTAGGATCTTCTTGGCTTTCTTAGGGCTAGACTCCAAATCCACACAGCCTGGTAAGCTTTTTAGTTTTTGGCTAATTGACAGGTAGGGTTGCATTGATTATGCTTCCTGTTGGTATTATTATATTAACCTTTCAAGATTATAAATCACAGTACATGAATCCCTTGATTATTTGGAACACAAGCACACAGGAGTCCATATCCTGAGGTAATAAGGATCCTGATACTTGCCTCTCTTCCAGTCATAGGATATTGCACTTGCAGGCTGTACTGTTAACCTGGTAACTGCTAGACAGACTGGAATATTTGAAATACAGACATTGTGGCTTGTTTTGTGGTATTAGCCGTAAAGCAGAAGGGGTCAGACTCAACCTTTCCTTCCTCTTTGATTTGCTAGCTATTGAATTCCCATGTACAAACAGGCTGGATATGGAAAATATCCAAAGCGAAGTAGGAATGAGAGAATTCTCGTCTCCGTTGCTGTGTCTCCATTGCTTAGCCCGGAACCTTCATGGGCTCTCAGAACCATTTCTAAGATGATGACTACTGGGATGCAAAAATAAGCATGTGAGTGCACATGAATGCACATGAAAAGCACAGGATGGAGCCTGTTGAAATCACCATAGATGGCTTGGTATTCTCACATTGAGAAGGGATGTGTGGCAGTAATCAGGTTTATACTAGGAAAAAAAAAAGTGCACAAATGAACTGTTGCAGCACGGAGCATCTTGAAGTATGCAGGACATAAACCAGTTTGTCAAGATACTGATACTGGCTTTGCCTTAACTTGTCTAGCCCCTCATGCTTCCCTCTCCAGTGCCTTGTTACCAGAAAGGAAGTGAAATGTTACCTAGGGGTTTTCCAGAAACTCTCATGGGCAGGCATTCTGAATCTCCAGTGGGAAACCTTTGATTCTTATCTCCCTGCACTTCTCATATCACTCTTAGCAGCCGCCTGTGTTGGGAGGAACTTTTTTTTTCTTTCAGAAATCTTATAAGCAACAGTCAATATCATGCACAGAACATACCATAACATAGTGATATGACATCATCCTTCTGGTATTGGCTGCTGGATGCTTTGAACTCTGGGCACTCCTGCCTGTTGGCAGTTGCTATTCCCACACTGAGCTGCTATCTCAGTACAGCAGCCGTGCGTGACTCGAGAGGGACGCAGCTTCTGGGCATCTGTTTGAGGATCTAAGCACCATGGATGATTTTACACTTTTTTTCTGGGGAGCAGCAGATGTCTCCATAGTCCCCATAAAAAAATTTTTTGCTTTTCTTTTTCTAGGTGTTTCTTTGATCATTCTGCATAGGAACTGACTTCTCTGTTTCTTTGTTCCACGGTGTTGATGTTTTGAGGAATCTTAATAGGCTTCCTTCCTCCTGAGAAAAAAAAATAAGTGTGAGAAATTCTGAGGATGCGGAATAATTTCAGCACAGGTTTCTTAGGATGTCAGTGCATTGCATGAATCCCAATGTGTGTGTGCGTGTGCGTGCGTGTGCGTGTGTGTGTGTGTGTGTGTGTGTGTGAGAGAGAGAGAGAGAGAGAGAGACAGAGACAGAGAGAGGAGAGAGAGAGGGAGGGAGGGAGGGAGGGAGGGAGAGAGAGAGAGAGAGAGAGAGAGAGAGAGAGAGAGAGGTGTGTCAGACAATTTGGAAGAAATGCTTCTCTCTTTCAACCTTGTGCATCCCAGAATAGAACCAGGTTATCAGGCTTGTGAGAAAGTACCTCTTCCTTCTAGCCCCAAGAAAAGATTTTTCAGTTTGTGTGTTCTCAAGTTCGATGTGGCACTTTCTTTCTCTATAAAATATACTCCATTAGCATTTAGCATTTGTTTGTTCATTTAGACAAGGTCTCTCTCTGTAGCACTGGCTGTTTGGCACTTGATTGTAGGCCAGGCTAGCCTCTAACTCATATAGATCTACCTGTTCTAATCCTCAGTGTTGGAATTAAATGGTAGAGCCACCACACCCAACTATTATTTTCAATTTTAAGGAAATATTAACCTATATAGATTAGAGTTCTCAAAATTACCTGGGCCTTCTAATTCAAACTGCAGAGTCCCTGATCTTAGGTGAGGGCTGAGAGTGTAGTTCAATGGAGAAATACTTGCCTGGCATGGTCAAGGCCCTGGGTTTGGTCCTCTAGCCCTGCCAAAAAAATGAGAATAAAAAGGAGAAAGGATTTCTTAGATGAGACTTGAGAACCTGTAACTTAACAACAGACCACAATAAGTATGCCTGCTACACTGTATAACTGGTCTTTAGAATGTCTTCCTTTTTCTAGCTGAAATTTTGTATCCTTGGGATGAAATCTCTCACTAGCCCCTGATAACTTCCATTTGACTCTATTCTTAGCCTTTTGGATTCCACATGTGAAATAATATGACATCTGCCTTTGTGTGCATACAGGATTCATACATTTCATATACACATTGCAAATGAGAGCGAGAGAAGGGGTCAGGGGGAGGGAGAATGTGTGTTGAGACAAGCTTCCACGTGTAGGCCAGGTTGACCTGGAACTCCCTATGTAGCCCAAGTTGACCTGACTGCAAGTCAGTCCTGCTTTAGTCTTTCAAGTGATATGTTCACAGACATGTGTTATCACACCTAGCCAAGACTGTCTCTTAAGACTTGTTTCTATTTATGTGTATGTGTGTGAGACTGCATGAGTTATGTGTGAAGGAGACTACAGAGACCAGAAGAAAACGCCCTACGCCCAGGAGCTGGAGTTCTGGTTGGTTGGAGCTGCCATGTGGATGCTGGGTAACAGAATCCCAGTCTTCTGTAAGAGCAGTGAGGGGCTTTTAACCACTGACCTCTCTCTCCAGCCCGATTTCCTTCTTTTTAAAGACTGAAAAATATTCTATCGTGTACATATGCCACATTTTCTTTATTCAAGCATCTTCTTGGATATTTGTTGATTAAATATGTACATACAACTTCTTATCTGCCTTATATCCCCATTGTCTGCGAGTTGCTTGCATATCTTCTGTTGAGAAATGCCCACTCTGTTGTGTAGTTTGATGTCAACTTGACACAAACTAGGGTCATCTGAGAGGAGGATATATCAATTCAGCTATTTTTCCTCAATTAGATCAGCTGTTGACAAAGCCTGTGGGACATTTTATTAATTAGTGATTGATGTGGGAGGGGAGGGCCCAACCAATTTTAGGTGGTGCCACCCCTGGGCTGGTAGTCCTGAGTTCTATAAGAAAACAGGCTGAGCAATCCAGTAAGCATCATCCCTCTATGGTCTCTACTTCAGCTTGGGCCTCCAGGTTCCTGCCCAGTTTAAGTCCTTCCATGATGAACAGTAATGTGGAAGTGTAAGCTGGGTAAACCCTTTCCTCCCCAGGTTGCTTTGGTCTTGGTGTTTCATCAGAGCAATAGTAACCCTAGCTAGAGCAGAGGATAGTGGAGTATTTCTGGAACAGACATGATCATCTTGTTTCGGGGAGGATTGTGGAAGGACTGTGGAACTTTGGACTAGAAAAGCCACGGAGTATTAAGAGCTCAGTGAACTATTCTGTAGGAGCTTGGAAGATAAGAACGTAAAGAGCAGTGCAAAAGACAGAAGCCTGGCTTGTGAAGTTCCAGAGGGAAGCAGAGATTGTAATGGGCCATTTATGTGAAGAATATGTGATGTTTGGTCAGTTGGAGTTGAAAAATTAGCTGTGATTAACAAGCGGCCAGAAGCACTAAAGTAAAACCTTTGCTTTGCTGGGACAGTGGATGCCGGCCAGCGTCTTAACTAGTAATTAAGAAGAGACCAGCATCACTAAGGTGAAAGACTTCTGGGAAGTCTTTCCTCAGCATCAGTACACAGAAGTTGTGTTCCAGAGGTGGCCAGGGTTGTCCCGTGTGCTGGCTGAAGCTCAAGCTTGGTAGTATAAGAGTCACCCAGGTTGTGCTGGTTTTGAAGGGATGAAGGGGTCATGAGAAGCTGCTGAGGTGTGGCACTAAGTGGACGAGCTGGAGTCCTCCGAAGAGAGCTCAGGAGAAGCTATTGGTGAAAGTGCAACCTAGTTGCAGCAGAAGATGCCAGCATTTTGGAGATGCTAGTACCATAGGATAACTATCAGACACTCTTCTGATGAATTAGAGCTGGTCTGAGCGTAGGAGATAATCTGTCTGTGCTACAGGGGCAGAGCCCTTTGGATGAGCTCAGAAGATTGTGAGTGGATCCCAGTCACTGGACACTGAGTTATTTATACAGTTTGAATTGGCTTTTGTTTTGTTCAGATTGTGACTGTACCCTGGTTCTCCCCTCTTGAAATAAGAAAGTAGCCAGGCAGTGCTGGCACGCCTTTAATCCCACCACTTGGGAGGCAGAGGCAGGCGGATTTCTGAGTTCGAGGCCAGCCTGGTCTACAGAGTGAGTTCCAGGACAGCCAG